TGTAATGTATACCTAAAATGTACCAATAAACTTAATGGGGAAAAAAAAAAAATGAAAGAAGCCTCTCTTCTCCAGACACTTTGTAGCTATTGCTAGACACAGCTGTAATGGACAGGTGTCTACAACTCCAACTACACCACCCTACCCAGGAGCCACTAGCCATTGGCAGCTGTTGAGCCCTTAAAGTGTGCCTTGTCCAGAATTAGAAGTAATGAAATGTGAGGGCTGGGGATTTAGCTCAGTGGTTCCACCGCCTGTCTCGCAAGCACAAGGTTCCAAGTTCGATCCCCAGTACCAAAAAAAAAAAAAAAAAGTAATGAAATGTGAAATTCACCCTGGATTCCAAAAAATTAGTATAAAAATACGGTAAAATAAGAATTTCTTAATAATGACTGTACACTAAAATAAGATCTCAGATTTATGTAAATAAAATGTGTGGTTAAAATTATTTCAACTTTTCCTTTTCCTTTTATAAAACATGGCTAACAAGAAAAATGAGAGGCACATACGTACTTTTGCATGCATTAAGTTTCTGTTGGTAAAATGTGAATGGGACCTCCAGTTCTCTTTTTCAGTGTACAGCCTGCACAAGTACACAAGGTCCCGGTCTCAGACCCCAAACTCCCCTCTTATAGTGGATATGGTACCTCACTAGTGTCTGTCCCCATGCAGGCCAGCTGGGGTTCATTGAGTATTCTCAATGAGGGTTAAGAACAGCTGGCCTAGGGCCAGGGATTTAGCTCAGTGGTTTCGCCGCCTGCTTCAAAAGCCCAAGGACCCAAGTTTGATTCCTGGTACCAAAACAAACAAACAAACAAACAAAAAAGAACAGCTGGCCTAGGAACCATGACTTACCCTCCAGGTCATCAATAGCACCAGCATCCACAATGTCATCCTCCTCCTCCTCCTCTGGCCCTTCTTCTTCTTGGGTCTTGGTTAAGGTATCCCACGTCTGCTGTCGTTCTTTCTTACCAGCTCCTGCTGCTGCTGGGGAGGGTAAGACAAGCTTGCCAGGTCTGGCTCCAGTGCCCCGCCCCACCCCACCCCACCTGTGCCGTCCACACACCAGGGCGGAAGTGCCGCTCCCGCATGTGCCGCAGCAGCGTGGCCTTGGTGCTACTCCGGTACTGGCACATCTTGCACTTGAACTGCTGCACCACCACCACCTCCATCATGGCTTCCAGGCTCTGCAAGTCCAGCTCCTCAGTGCCAGAAGCTCCAGGTGGCTGTGCCAGGGAGCTGGCCCTGTCCTGAGCCTCCTCAGGTGGCTCTAGGCATGTGGATGTGGGGCCATCGGCCAGAGCCTCGATGGCTGCCAGGCTGTGGCCCAGGGTGGAACTGGACATTGGAGATGTCATGGGGGCACCTGGGGACATGTGAGAGGATTGGGGAGGTTAAGCGGAAAGCAGGATCAGCCATGAGCTACAGGGATCCCAGAGCTGAAATCCCCACCAGAGGCCACCTTGCCAAGTAGGAAAACTGGAGGGCCAGAGCAGTGGATAACCTGTCAGACCACATGGGGAGCTTGCAGCAGAACCTGTCCTTGATACTCTGCCCACTCTGGGCTCCCTGGGCCTGGCACTGGGGGTCTTACCATCATCTGGACCCTGCAGGATCAGGTACCGTGTGGTCTCAGCCCCGCCATCTTCAGCACTGGTCACAGTGATACAACCTGGGGACAGACGGCAAGAGGGTCACCCCTCTGGGAGGAGGCTCCACTGCAGGCCCACACCCAGAGGCCCCACTTGGCAAGTGGAAACCAGTTTCATCAGCCCTGAGCCTGGGCACCCCCCACTCCGGCACCTGAGCCCCACAGCCCCAGTCGCCAGGATACCATGGCTATCCCAGGTACCTGACCTTTCACCAAGGCTTGGAAAGTCCTCTTCCTTCCTCTCTAAGGTCCTCATGGTCATTACCCAGCCCCTGCACCGCTGTCTTGGGGTTGGCTTCCAAGACTACTCCAGTGCTTTGTGAAGTGCAAGGGTCTCTGTGCACATCACTAACCACAGAGAATGTTAAGGATTTCTGTGCTCCCGTATTTAAGTGTTTAGAAGCATCCTCAGCACAATGTAAGCTGTAACTGCTTCTATTACTGACCGCGTGGTGTAACGGGCAGGTACTATGCTAAGAACTTTACCGAACTGTATCATTTAATTGTGTCATTTACCATTGTGAGATGGGGCTTCTATTCTCCTCTCACACATTCAGCGTTATAAGGTATTTAGCCTGCATTCACACAGCTGGCTGCAGGACTCTGCAGGGAACTCCTGTGGGGTGACCCTGCCTCCCTCTTCCGACTCACTCTGAATGAGGTCAGGCCCGATGGTGGATTCGATGATCTTGTCGATGGCTGAGCCCAGGTCTGAGGAGGAAGCTGAGCAGTCAGACACCAGCATGCTGGGGTCCGGGAGAGCACTGGAGTGTACAAGTGCTGGGGGGCCTCCAGGGACCCCTGCCATCGGCCCGCCAGACACAGAAGATGAATCAGGGAGGTAGCCATGAGCCAGAGGGTCTGCGCTTGATCTGCTCTCAGATACCTCCTCCTGAGGGGCAGGAAACAGAGGGAGGTAGCTGGGGAGCAGGGGTGGGGTGGGGCTGGCAGCTTGCCGGACAGAGGACAGGACATGTTAAATGGAGCCACCCACACTCTCAGCCCATTTAGGACCAGTGGGGAAAATCTGCCAGTCAGAATACACCAAGAAAAAGCCCCAGGGCCCTGGGTTCTGATCAGGGGCTCTCCTAGAATAAGGGAAGAGAATCCTACATAGCCCACAACATAGCCAGAGAAAGCTATTTTCACTGGGTTTTGGCAAAATTCGTTCCTTCTGTCTCCAATTCATCCTCAGCCTTCTCACCACTATCTAGCTATACCTCTTCCAGGAAGCCCACCCTGACCCCAAGGCCAAGTTAGGGCTTCTTCATCGCCAGTGCTGCAGCTGTTTATGTCCCCCATCACAGCAGGTTGGTTTGTACTCCAGTGGCAGCTTTCCAGTGTGGACACAATTCCTCAACCCTAGGAGGCGCTCCCCCGCACCCAAAGCCTGTAGGATGCGTCCTGTATCATTAACATCCTGTATGCAGACAGTGTTCTCCACAAGGACCTGGACCACACCTGTCTTGTCCCTGCTGTTTCCTCAGGGTCTAGAACATGCTGAACGTGGTAGGAGCCACTCTGCTGACTTAATAAAACCCATGGGCCCCAAAGTGATATTCTGAATATGATCATTACCTTGCAGATAATGAAATACCTGAATGCTTACTGTGTGCTGGGCAGTTTTATTTGCTTTGCATACACTAAACCATTTAACCCTTGCAAAAACTCTACAAGGCAAGTGTATTTGTCATTCCACTTTTCAGATGAGTAGCTTTGTCAAGATAGCAGACCTACAAAGTGACAGGGCCAGGAAGCAAGGGTGATGTTCACAAAGGGTGTGCAAGCGAATGTCAGGTGGGCACTTAAAACTTAGTACCCATCAAAGAAGCAGGTATTCCTGCTCCAGTTTACAGACAGGACGACTGAGGTTCAAAGAGAACTTCTAGTGAATTCGAGGCAGGGCCAGGACTTGAACCAGGACATTGCCTCTCAAATTGTGAGGACACAGGACAGGGCAGTGGATAAGACCAAGTGAAGAGTTGAATCTGTCCCTCAGGACTCTGCGCCTTGGTTTCCTTTCCTGTAAGGTGTGGGAAAAAGTGGTAGATGCCTTCCAAGGTATGAAGTTCAACTAAGAAAATCCCTGTCAGGGGTTTGGCATGGTGCCTGGCTCAGAAATAACAAACATTAGCTAGAAGCAAGCCTTGCTGACCGCCTCCCCAGTCTCCACCCATGCAGTCCAGCCCAATCCATACCAGAGAGTGGCTGCCACGGTCTGAACTTTGCACCACTCCAGAGATGTCGGCCTCCACTGGCCCTGGGGCTGTCGCGGCATCACTGCTGTCGGCTGACAAAGCTTCCGAGGTGCCCACACCCAGGCCGCTCTCAGAGGGTTCCTCGGGTCTAGGGGCCGCGTCGCTACTGCTCTCTACCTCGTTCTCCTCCATCGGCTCGGGGGAGGCCTGGCAGGAAGGCACGGGGTCTGGGGCTTTCACTCTGCGAGAAGAGGTGACCACGGCTGGAACATGTGGGCCACTTCCTGGGCAACCAAGGTCCACCCAGCTGCACCCTTGAGCCCATTTTGCAGAGGCAAAGACTGAGTCTTCGACAGGGCGGGGCTCCCTTGTGTACTGAGAGAGAAGCTCCCGGAAGAGAACGGGGAGTCTTGCCTCCCAGACTAGGACCTTTCCTGAGGCGGTGGTCGCCGGGAGCAATCTTGGCCCTTTCCCCCGTCCGCGCTGAGTGGGGCGCTCTATGGCCCCTCTGGGTGCAGTGGTTCAGCCCTTCGGCCCCCGAGTCCCCCCGGGTGAAGGGACGGTGGTACGGCCCACAGGCCCCCTGGGTCACTGGTTCGCTCCCCCCTCCCCTGCTCCCCTGCGGAGGGGGCTGACAGCGACGGTCTCGGGGCCTGGTGACTCGGGGCTGTCCCCGGCGCTGCCTGCGCTCCAGGTCCGACGCCATCTTGTGGAGGAGCCGGGTTTCCGCTCAGGCAAGTGCGAGAGCGACTAAAGGGCCTGGGACCCCGGGGCCCTTTTCGGACAGCCCCGCCGGCCCGGGACGTCGCCGCCGGGTATCCCCGCACGGGGGGCTCTACTCCATGGCACAGTGCAGTGGGGCAATCTGATTCTACCCAACGCTTACCTGAGATTTTCTTTGCCGCGTTTCTCTCTGACTCCGGCATCGACGAGGTCGCCATCCTCTTTCCCCCGCTGCGGAGGGACCCATCGGCCTACTGTAGGCCGGGACTACTTCCACGGCCCCGCCAGGGAATGACAGATTTCCAGTGTTCCGGAAAGGGCTCTCCGAGACCTCAAACCATAGTCCTGTCCAGAGGGATTCTGCACTTTTATATGTTGCCTAGTATAGACGATAGGACCTGCTGGGGAATGGGAACTACTTTCTCTCCTGGCGGACGTGGTTATGACGTCACTACAGGTCCCTTCTCGGGCCGCAGGGTGGGGCGCGGCGCGGCGCGGCAAAGTCCGGCTCCATTCTCTTGGGGCGTGGCTTCTGACATTCTGGCCACGCCCCTACGGAGGGCCGCTGAGAAAAGTCTTCGTGGAAGGTTTAATCTTGGCGGAAGAAGAGCAAATATTGTCATATGTTTTTCCTGGCATTTTACGGATCGCTGCACGCTCTCCTCGAGCCTGATCGGATCCTCCCCGATTAGGTTTGATGTTTCTAGCGAGGGGACCCATGTAATCCTTGTCCAGATGGGAAAAAAGGTTTGAAGACAAGCAAGACTGGTCCAAAACCATGTTGGAGGCAAGGCCGGATGGCTTGAGTCAGGGAATTGGAGCGGAGTTAACGCTAGCTCTTGGTGAGCTGTGTATGTGTGTGTGTATTTGTTACATTAATAAGGCTGCAGGTCAAGACTTCTTTCCACATGTGTCCTCTACTCAGTGTAGGCAATGATGTATTTAAAAGTTTGCAGACCTTCAGAAAATGTATGTTCCCTCCCATGGCCGAACGAAATATCACCTTCTGTTGAAGCTCTTTTAAAAATCATTTTGCAGTGGAAGAACACTAGAGAGAGTAATGTGCGCTGGTTTAGTCCCTAAGTCTCTATGTTGCATAAGCTATGTCAAACTCCAGGGAAAAGAATCTCAGAAAATTCCTCTAGAGAAAACCTACTGAAAAGGTTAAAGTATGCTTTGAGTTGTTTGCATGCATAGCAAGTGAGCATGAGGGGCTTCCCTGGTCCTTTCCTAGGTTTCCCCTTTGTGTAAGGGGACTAGAGCAGGAAGCTTCTGCATGGATTAGGCCTTTTGTCCCTCCCCCTGCCAGCGGCCCACGCCTTCTGAGCAACCCTGAAGAGCTAGCTGCATCACCAGTGAGTGACATGGTGGCAGGTTGTTTTTTTGTTGTTGTTGTTTTAGTACCGGGGATCGAATTCGGGTCCTTGCGCTTGCGCAGCAGGCGGCGAAACCACTGAGCCAAATCCCCGGCCCCAGTGGTGGCAGCTTTTTGCACTCCTGAGGCAGTTTTCCAATGTGGACCCCGTCTGACAGTCCTATTCTCCACCCCACCACTGCCTGTAAGATACAGCCTGCCTCCCACCAGATCACCTCTCAAGAGGATCAGAGTACCAGGGAGTAGCCCTCACAGCACTCATCCACAGGCCAACTGAGTTCTAGCCCTAATCATGGCCTTTGCCACCAGATCACAGTATTGCAGAATGTCATGTAGAAGATAACAGCCTCATCCTGAAACAGAAGAGGAGGCCAGAGAGGGAAAGTGCATGGCCCGGGGTCTTATGGCTCCTTGGAAAGAGCATATCAGAATCCTTCAGTTCCAAGCCTGGCGTGCTGGCACGCACCTGTAATCCCAGCCAAAAGAGGCTGAAGCAGGATAATTGAGTTCAAGGCAGCCTGGGTTAGTGAATTCAAGGGGTTTTCTGACTGTTGTTAATCCAGGGTTCTTCCCAATTGATCATGCCATTGGGAAATGGAAGCACTGGGGACTGGAAGCAGTGAAGGAAGGGATGCTGGGTCAGAAGGATGTTAACATGGACCATTGAGAAAAATACAGGAGAGGGGAGCACAGGGAGAAAGAGGAAATGCACCAGGCAGTGTGTGTATGCTTTGGTGCATCATGGTGTCCCAAGAAAACGGGTTATCTTCCATGTGGGGAGGAGAACGGTGAGGCTCAGAGAGAAGGAACTTGTCCAGGGTTGTACAGCCCAGACTGTAGAGCTGGCCAGTGGGGCCAGGCATGTCTGATTCCAAAGCTCTGTGGAATTTAGGTACCGTGTGAAGTATGCTTAGTAATTCTAACACTTCAGATATTCTGTGGCACTGTTCTAAGCACTCAACGTGCATGAATTTATTTAATCCTCCCAACTGCCCCACGAGGTAGTTGTCCTCATTTTACATTCGAAGAAACAGGCACAAAACAGTAAAGGAATGTACCTAAATAATGGAGGGCTGGGGATTTAGCTCAGTGGTTCTGCCACCTGCCTGGCAAGTACAAGGTCCTGAGTTTGACCCTTGGTACAAAAAAAAAAAATGGAGCTGGGATTGAAAACCAAGCAATCTGGCCCCAGACACCCTAATTTTATGTTGCTGTGCTATTTCTCATGTGCTACTACTAATAAATACTTTTTTTTTAATACCTTGTTATGTTCCAGAAATCTCGGAAAGAAATAACACGGAGACACAGAATTCGGATAAAATAATAAAATTTCTTCTGGAGAGTGAGGGGGAATGCCAGAAACAGGTCTGGTTAGTATCCCTGCCCCCTTTGTTCAGGGTTTCCCTTTTTAGCCATTATCTCATCCCTAGTGGTCTTTGATGTGTAAATACAATTCCAGTTCCTATTTACAAGTCACAGGCACTAGATAGGCCATATACATTGTAAATTCACCCTGGCATTGAAACTTTGTTAGGTTAATGAAGTTACTGGTTAAAGAGTCAGATAACCTTCATCTTAAACAAGGAGTTGGAGGCGAGGAGCAAATCTTAAAAGAACACCTTACTATTTTGCTTCTACAACTACCTTAATATTCAATCTATTAAGTTATCTAAAACTTTTCCCTATCAGTTAAAGGATGCTTTCTCTGTTCCACAGGCTCCCCAACCCCTCAGTACTTGAGATTGAACCCAAGGTCTTTGAGTTGAGCTAACTCCCCAGTCCTTTTTTATTTTTTTGAGACAGCATCTTGCTAAATCATTTGCAGGACTCAAATTTACAATCCTTCTGCCTGTTTCCCAGAGTGCTGGGATTACAGACATGTACCACCATGCCTGGCTTTTTTCTCATTTTTTGGATGAGGAAACTGAAGCCCAGAGAGGAAGCAACTTGCTCAAGATCACACAGTGAGTTTCCTGGTCTAATAGGAAAGTCTGTGAGTCCAGGTCAGATCTGCAGTAGTTAATAATCATACAGGGCCAGGGGGTTAGCTCAGCAGCACTGTGCCTGCCTTGCAAGTGCAAGGTCCTGAGTTCGATCCCTGGTACCAAAAAAAAAAATCATACAGCAAATCTTGACTGAACACTTATGAAGTACCAAGTGCTGTGGTGCGGTATTAAGTGCTTTTTTTGGTTGTTGTTATTTGAGACAAGGCCTTCCTGTGTAGTTCACGCTGGCCTTGAATTCACTATGTAAGCCAGGTGGCCTTCAACTTGCAGCATTCCTCCTACTTCAGCCTCCCCAGTGCTGTGATTGTAGGCATGCGCCACCATGCCCAACTAACACCAAGTTCTTTGGTCACAACAACCAGAGATGTAAGACCGAGGGCCTTACCAAACGCTCCGAGGAGCTGACTAGTCAAGCACACCCAGGAATCCCAGCAGTGTCTTCAGAATGTAAGACCAAGAGCCTTACCAAACGCTCCAAGGAGCTGACTACAGCGAAGAACACCCGGGAAGGAACACACCGGACAAGTTGGAAAACAGACCTTTATTAGTCTGGCCAGAAGGCACTCCTGAAGCAAAATAGCTTGGAGAGGCAACTGGCTCAGAATCCGAGGCTGTTTTTATAAGGGGTTGAGGGGGAAGTTAACATATTAAAGAAAAGGGGACAAAGGTTAGTGGTCGACTGTCACAAATTGATGGTTAGCAGACATCTGCAGCTTGTTCTAACAATTGTGGTGCCTGGAATATCAGTTCCGGGTAAACAAAGAGTTGAGTAGTTTGCTCTGGGACTCTAGGTCTGTTACAGATCCCTATCTAGAGTCCCTAGACTAACAAGCATCTCCATCCATTAACTTACATTTTAATCACAATGAGGCTGGGAAAAAGCAACAAAGGTTATGCAGTCCCACACCTTCTCGGGAGATGAAAGATGGCTGCAGGCTCTGAGATGCTCTTTCCGTGCTCCGCTTCCCCTGTTACCTGTGACTGCTTTGGCCAATAGAATTCAGTGGAAGCAACACTGCCTGCTCCAGGCCTGGACTTGAAGAGAACTAGCAGCTTCTTCCTTGGACTGAGAGCCCTGAGCTGCTCTGAGAAGGCTGATGGGAGACACCACATGCAGAGGGCTGAGAGCACGGGGAGGAGGAGGAGGAGGCCCGGGAAGCCCAGTCCTCCAGCTGGCCCTACCAAGCCCCAGTGTTTAAACCATACCTAGGATTTTGGGTTTATTCAGGTTTGGTGAGGCCAAGAGTCCAAGAGACAATTGCCACTGAAAAGAGAGCTCGGGTGGCCAGGATGTAGCTGGGCTCAGTGGTAGAGCTTGCATCCAGGAGGGTTGTTACTCAGTTCCCAAAATGGGGGAGGGGCACAGCAGGCCACATCCTGCCACATGGGGAAGCACCACTGTCAGTCAGGAGGCAGACGGAGGGTAAGAAGAGTAGAGGCCAGAGCCTTTGGTGTGGTTTTGGTGGGAGGGAACAGATAGGGCAGGCAGAGAATTGGAGCAGGTTTAGGATTGGCTAGTCTGAATAATTTTGTTGGGCTCTGGTTCATACGAGTGGTCTTGGTTTCCAGTACCTGGGCCTGGATGATTCAGGATGGGGGCTGATATTCTGGATAAAAGGCAAAGGCCTTGTGCAATGATGTGGACATTCACTGAGCTGGGGGCTTGCAGATCAAAGGGGTGCTTAGAGGCAAGTTGTTTTTCTTCATAGGAGCTAACTAGGTAACCCTGGGAGAGACAGTCCCTTTCTGGGTCTGCAAGGGCCCAGGATGTCAAAGCATTCTAAAATATAGAAAACAAAACCAAACATGATTCACACCCCAAGGAAACTGTGTTGGACCTTCCAGTCTACCCTCAGCCACCAGCTGATTACCTAGCATCCTGAAGGAGGAAGCACAGGCCTCCCCTATTCTATGCAAATTCCCGACCCACAGAACACCGAGATACAGGTAGAACAAAGGGTTGTTTTAGAGCCATTACATTTTTCTGGTGTTTTGGGTAGTGGGGTGGGAGGTTGGTTGGTGACTGGGCTCAAACTCCTGGGTTCAAATGATCTTCCTGCCTCAGGCTGCCAAGTAGCTGGGACCATAGGTGTGAGCCATGGTTTAGAGCCAATTTGTCCAGAAGGTGTAGATTACAGGAGCGCCCACCTCCAAATAAACCCTCGGCTCCCCTCGTCACGTAAAAAGCTTATCACCCCCTTTATATATAAAGAAGAAACTGAGGTTCAGGGAGTCCTTATTGAACCCAAGGTCACACTGTTCAAATCCAAGTCAGCTGGCGGTATCCAGGGCCCAGCCCTTCTACTGTACCAGCTGTTACCAGCTGGCTTCTTCCTGGAGCCTTTGGCTGGAGCAGTGGAGCCTTTGGGCGGTCTCCAAGCCAGGCCCTGGCAGGAATCTCACCTATGCCTTAAAAAGGCAGGCCCCCGCACCCCTTCTACTGGTGCCCTGGGAATTTTTCCACTGGAGAAATCCCACATCCCTCAGCAGGAGCGGGGCCGGAGCTACTGGCTTCCTTCGCAGGAACAGCGCCACTCCCCTTCACCCCAGCACCCCTGGCTTCCGGTGTATCAAAGTCCCAGCACTGCATGACATTCAGATCCTAACAAGTCCCAGCAGACTTTGTGAATACATTAGTTTTATTTTCTGCTAACCTGCCACAGGGGTGGAGGGAAGGGAGGGAGCTCTAGGAGTTTAATATGCAAATGTATGCAGATCTCATCTTAATGAGAGTGTCCCAGGATTAATGGACGGAGCAGGAAATCGGAGCAGGCCCAGCTGGGCCACAGCCCCCCGGGCTCTGCAGTGACACAGTTGGAAATGGCTCTCGGTGAGGGTGTCTGGAGCTGTCTTTCAGAGCTTGTTCTTTGAAGCAATGTCCCCGAAGCAGAGGGGAAGGAAGAGCTGCGGAAATTGGTTCTGGATATTTCCGGGCCAAATGTTCTCAATTGCTTCGGCTGTACAGGGGGTGGGGAGGGGAGAGGAGAGGGCACAGAATCTCTGAGGCTCTCTGGGTTACCTCACCAGCAGGGGCTGCCGGTTCTGATTTCTAAACCAGGGGATCTTGCTAACACTTCCGGACCCCACTGATTACAAATCACAATCTCTTGAGAATCTTTTTTTTTTTCTTCTTATATCTCCAGCGTTGGCAAATACTGACCCCAACTAGGGGTTTTAATATGAAGTCCCTTACAGTTTCCAAGGGTGCCAGCATAGCTGTGTTGTCAATCCTGGCTGCATATTAGAATCACTGGAGCTTTACAAAAAAAAAAAAAAAAA